CTGAGGCCACACTGGCCCCGCGTGGGCTTCACCCCAGTTAAGCCTCTGGAGTGATGTCCCTCAGCGGAACAGACTTTTAAAAGTCCTGATTTCGTGCTCCGTTGCTCCGCCGCTTGCCGGGAGCCGGCCCCTCCCCCCGGGGTCTATCTTCCCGTCCCTTTCAGAAAGTGGTTGATTTTCTGTTTCTAGAATTGCTGTTCTTCTTCTCTTCGGTCTCCTGTTGGATTTGTAGGTGTTTGCAATCTTTAGATAAGCTATCTAGCTGATCTCCCGTAACCTGAAGTAGTCTCAGCCTGCTACTTCTCCACCATCTTGACTCCTCCTACAACAAATGGTGTTTGGAAAACTGGACAGCCACATGCAGAAAAATGAAACTGGACCATTTCCTTACTCCACACACAAAAAGAGACTCAAAATGGATGAAGGACCTCAATGTGAGGAAGGAATCCATCAAAATCCTTGAGAAGAACACAGGCAGCAACCTCTTCGACCTCAGCCACAGAAACTTCTTCCTAGAGATATCACCAAAGGCAAGGGAAGCAAGGGCAAAAATGAAGTATTGGGACTTCATCAAGATTGAAAGCTTTTGCATAGCAAAGGAAACAGTCAACAAAACCAAAAGACAACTGGCAGAATGGGAGAAGCTTTTGGAAACGACATATCAGATAAAGGATTAGTATCCAAAATCTAGAAAGAACTTACCAAACTCAACACCCAAAGAACAAATAATCCAATCAAGAAATGGGCAGAGGACATGAACAGACATTTCTGCAAATAAGACAGCCAGATGGCCAAGAGATACATGAAAACGTGCTCCACATCACTTGGCATCAGAGAAATACAAATCAAAACCACAATGAGATACCACCTCACACCAGTCAGAACGGCTAAAATTAACAAGTCAGGGAATGACAGATACTGGCGAGGATGCGGAGAAAGGGGAACCCTCCTACACTGTTGGTGGGAATGCAAGCTGGTGCAGCCACTCTGGAAAACAGCATGGAGGTTCCTCAAAAAGTTGAAAGTAGAGCTACCCTACGATCCAGCAATTGCACTACTGGGTATTTACCCTAAAGATAGAAATGTTGTGATCTGAAGGGGCATGTGCACCTGAATGTTTATTGCAGCAATGTCCACAATAGCCAAACTCTGGAAAGAACCGAGATGTCCATGAACAGATGAATGGATAAAGAAGAGGTGGTGTGTGTGTGTATATATATATATACACACACACACATACATACAATGGAATACTATGCAGCCATCAAAAGGGATGAAATCTTGCCATTTGCAATGACGTGGACAGAACTAGAGGGTATTATGCTTAGCAAAATAAGTCAATCAGAGAAAGACAATGACCATATGATCTCCCTGATACAGTGAAGTTGAGAGGCGATGTGGGGGGTTTTGGGGGTAGGAAAAGTATAAATGAAACAAGATGGGATCAGGAGGGAGAAAAACCATAAGAGACTCTTAATCTCACAAAACAAAATGAGGGTTGCCGGGGGGGGGGGGGGGTTAGGGAGAGGGTGGTGGGGACATTGAGGAAAGTATGTGCTATGGTGAGTGCTGTGAAGTGTGTAAACCTGGCGATTCACAGACATGTACCCCTGGGGCTAATGGTACAATATATGTTAATAAAAATAAGAATTATAATAAAAAAGCTATATTAATAATAACATTAAATGTAAGTGGTATAACTACCCCAAATGAAAGCAGAGATTGTCAGACTGGATAAGAAAGCAAGACCTAACTACATGCTGCATACAAGAAATGCCCTATCAATGTAAAAACACAGATAGGCAAAGCAAATGGATGGGAAAGATATCCCATGTTACCACTAATTAAAAGAAAGTTGAAATGGCTATCCTAATAGCAGACAAAGGATATTTCAGAGTAAAGACTATTGCCAAGAATAAAGACTGTGATTTGATAAAGATAAAGGGATCAAATAGTCAAGAGGACACAAAGATACTTAATGTTTCTTCATCTAATAACAGAACTTTAAGATACATAAGACAAAACCTTTAAAAAAAAAGGCAAAATTGTAAGGAGAAACAGGCAAAATCCATAACTATAGTCAGAATATTCAACTGTCTTCTCTTAGTAATAGGACAAGTCGACAGAAAAAAAATCAGCAAGAACACAGAGGAATTGACTCAAATGCCCATCAGTTGAAGACTGGATACATAGAATGTAATATATTCATACAATGTAGGATTATTCAACCATAAAAAGGGATGAAATAATGACATGTGTTAAAATGCTATGCTAAGTGAAAGAAGTCAGTCATAAAGGACACATATTATATGATTCTATTTATACAAAATATCCAGAATAGTCAAATCTATAGAGACAGAAAGTAGAGTAGTGGTTGCCAGCTGTTAGGACAGAATATTTGTGTCCCGGCAATTCATATGTCAAACCTAATACCTAATGTGATGGTATTTGGAAGTGGGACTTGGGGAGGTGATTAGGTCATAAACACGATTAGTGCCCTTATAAAAGAGATCTCAGAGAGCTCCCTCCACCTGCCACCATGTGAGAGCACAATGAGAACATGGTGATCTAAAAACCAGAAAATTCTCTCACCAGACTCTCACCAGACACTGAATCTACTGACACCTTGATCTTGGGACTTCCCCAACTCTAGACCTGGGAGAAATAAATGTGTGTTTAATCTATACTTTTTGTTAACAGCAGACTGAATGAAGACATCAGGAAATGAAAGAAAGGAAAATGGGGAGTGACTAACCAGGGAACTTCTTTTAGGGATGATGAAAATGTTCTGGAATTAGTGATGATATTTGTACAACTTTGATAACATACTAAAACCCACTAAATCATATGCTTTAAAAAGGTAAAATCTGTGGTATGTAAATTGCATTTCAATTAAAAAAAATATAAAGGACTTGAACCATACTGTCAACCACCTTGAAATAATTGGAACTAAATGACATTTATAGCATGATACATTCTTTTCAAGTTCACATGAAACAGTTACCCAGATAAACCCTATTTTAATCCACAGAATAAATTTTAAATCTAAAAGAATTCAAATCATATAAGATATGTTCTCTGACTACTATGAATTTAAATTATAAATCAATAAGAAAAATACTTGGAAAATAAACATTTGTAAGTTAAATAACAAGCTCCTAAATAACCCAAAGTTCACAATAATAAAAAGGGAAGTTAAAAACTATTTTGTACTAAATAGAAATAAAAACAAGTCAAAATGTATAAGACACAGTTAAAGTAGTACTTACAGAAAAATGTATAGCCCTAAACATCTACACAAACAAAGAAGGACTCAAACCAATGACATCAGCTTCCACTTTAAGAAACTAGAAAGAGAGGAGCTAATTAAAGCTAATTAAACATAAAAAATATAATTAATAGCAGCAGTCAAGGAAATAGAATACTTATGAACAATAAAGAAAATCAGTAAAACCACTTGAAAATAGAAAACACAAATTACCAATATCAAGAATGAGGAGATGATACCATTACATACAGATATTAGAAATATAATACGGGGATGTTATAAATAATTTAATAAATTCAAAAACTTAGAAAAAAATGGACACATTTCCTGAAATATCAACTACCTGAGTTCATTTAAGAATAGATAACTTAATATTCCTATCTCAATCAAAGAAATTGAATTTGTATTTTTGAATCTTCTCACAAAGAAAATTTCAGGCTCATAGAGCCTCTCCAAAGAAAACTCTTAGGGAAGAAATACCAATTCTGTACAAACTCTTCCAGAGAATTCTATGAGGTGAGCATCACTCTGATGCCAACATTCGATTAGATGACCATATTCCACTCACTTCTTTAGACAGTAGAGCTTAGCCTCCTCAAATAATACCCTTCAAATCCAAACAACAGTCTTCTGATGTCTTTAAGGAGCCTCCTTCTACCTGGAAGCTTCTTATTCTTAACTCCAGGGCAGAGAAAGCAGATGATGATTATAATCTAGTACATAATACCCTAACTATGGTCAATGACTCTTAGACCTCCAGAAATAAAAGCAGTTATCCTCATGTCTTAACAGTAACAAAAGTAGCCAAGTTGATTCTCTGACATATTTTATTGTTCACCAAGCAGCAAAAATAAAACAAAAGTCAAAATATCATTTTAATATTGTTCAATAGCTTGCCCATCATTGATGAAAACTCATCAACTATGTGAAGAGAAATGTTTCAAGCTGAAGGCTGCAGCAAGCCGAAGAAGCCAGGTGCTCAATGTTGGCCATGGAGTCTTACAGATATTAGCTGTAAGTCATAGGATATGAAGATGCTTACATCTCCAGAGTACAAAGCAAAGCTACACTCATATTTGATGTTCCTGTCTCCTTTCCTGCATCCCTGACCTCCTTCCTCTTTTAATTGTGGTACAAGTGGTCACTTTTGCTAATAATATAACACAAGCTGCTACTCTCAGTAGATGCAGACAGATTTTATTATCTTTACCTCTCAAGGACATTTTTGCTTTTGGGATTTTTAAGAAGGCAGAGAAATATTGGAATAAAGGATGCAAGAAGCAGATAAAAATTTGAAGGAGACAGAGAGGAAGAGAGAGGAGAAGGAGGGAAAGTTGGGGTGGGTGATGTGAAGAAGTGAGGGAGGAATGGGACATGAGAGAAAGAAGAGAAGAGGGAATCAAAACCGGAGGGACGACGAAGAATGGAGAGTATGCACAGTAAAAAGAGAAGGTGAATGACAACCTGTTTTATTCCTCTTTGCCCACCTCCATCAAGAACTGCTAGTAAGAAGGGACACCTGCATGGCTCAGTGGGTTAAGCCTCTGCCTTCGGCTCAGGTCATGGTCTCAGGGTTCTGGGATTGAGCCCCACATCGAGCCCCACATCAGGTCCCACATGGAGCCCCGCATCGGGCTCTGCTCAGCAGGGAGCCTGCTTTCTCCCCTCTCTGTCTGCCTCTCTGCCCACTTGTTATCTCTCTCCTCTCTGTCAAATAAATAAATAAAATCTTAAAAAAAAAAAAAGAACTGCTAGTAAGGAAACTAGGAAGAGATTTCAACTGATAAAAAACTTAGAATTCATTCAAAAAAGAAGTCAGGATGGAAACTGGGTAAAAGATCATAGACTAAATACTTCCTCTACACAGACTTTTACTAGCTTTTCTGGCCAAAGAGAATAAACAAGTATCAAATATTCATCCTACCTCTAGAAAGTGAACTATAATGTATGTGTCAATATATCATTTGTTTCACAATATCAACCACCATTCTCAGAGATCATAAGAATTCATGGCACTCCCCACTAGCCATTCTTTCTCAGGCTCCTTTGCTAGATTCTCCTCACTGATCTACCACTGAAATATTGCAATCTGAGGGGGGACTCCTGGATTCCTCTCTTCTTCTCTTGGTTCTCTACTCTTTGCTCCATGTGATCCCATAAATCTCTACTCCTATAAATACCACCTACATGCTTACGATCTCAATAGTACATATCCAGCTAGGAGCTCTCCTCCAGAATCCAAATGTGTATCTACCACTGCAAACTGGATATTTCCACTTAAGTCTCAGGGCATGTCAGAATAAACATGTCCAAAATTGATTTTGCCCCTTTGGTAGTAGGTTGACTGACCTAACTTCTATTTATAACTTCCTTTTCCCTTGTCTCCTTTCCTATGAGGCCATCAAAGGTCACAATTCAATTTCCCATCCACTCCAATACCTGGTGGTTTCCATGGATCCGTATAACTCAATTCTGACCCATGACATATAAATAGATTATCTCCTGATATTGTCTTTTCCTTTCATCCTTCTTGAGGATCAGAACACATATACAAGGCTTGCAGGTTCCACAATTACTTGGTGATCATGAGGTAATACAAATGAGGCTGAAAGTTACAGCACCAAGGATGGCAGAGAGGAAACACAGAAAGAACATGCATCTCTGATGGTACCATTAGCCTAGTTCACTAGCCCTTAAATGCCTCACTTCAGTGTCCACGTTATTTGAAATAAATGAAGGTGTACTTGTCTAAACCAATGTAGTCTCATTTTCTGTTAGTGGCAGCCCAAGTCATTCCTGACACAGCCTCCAAAACTGTTTCGTCTCTGTCTTTCTCATCTCATTGAAATGCTTTATAATTGCCCCTGATGCTCCAGCTAGAAATAAGATGGGTCTTTTAGATTTCTCTGTTTCCCACAACCCCTCGATCCTAACCCTACCCTATCAAACACACAGAGTGAGTCCATCATTAAGTCCTGTGGCCATTCCTCCAAAGACTAGGGCCACACTCTCAATGGCTTTCCTAGCACTGCAGCTTCCCCAGGCCAGATCAAATGGGGAAGCTTTTCACATGCTGGTACCATCCCTACTCATCTCAAATTTGCATGGTTAACTCCTTTTACCCTCAAGGCCCAGCTTAAGTGTGTCCTCAGAGAGGCCTTGTTTGACCATCCTATTAAAATTATTTAGAATTTAATACAGAGAATTAACAAAAAGGTCTTATTTGACTGAGAAGATGAAAGAGGACTACAGAGACAGTGAGAGCAGGAGATGGCCCCCACACCTGGGGCTGGGATCTGGAGCTCTGACGGTCCCATTTGTCTCCATCTCTACCTCAGGCGCTTGGAGGAGGCTCTGCGGAGCTGCTTCTCAGATTCCAAGGAGAGGGTGTTACCTGGGTGGTACTGGCACCTCTGACAGGGTGCAATCAAGCTGTTTCTGGGAATGCTGGAAAAAACTCGGAACTGCAAACAACTGGTGATGCTGGGGTAAAATGCATGGCAATGGTACCCACTGGGGCAACAAGGAGAGTGAGGAAGAGCAAGTCCTTTTGGGTTCCTCTCATCTACCCATCTTCCACACTGCTTCCTATGAATAGAGCCTAATATGGACACACTTGGCAAAGGAAAAATGTGGTGTTTGCAGAGCCTCAGCCTGAAGGATTCGGAGCAGCATATAAAAGGCTGAGTTCAGGGGTAAGATATGATACATAGCTTAAGAAGAAGCACAGTTTTTTTTTTTTAAATTGTCCTTTCTCCCTTGCTAGACAATACGTGTTCAGGACCTATGCCTTTCTTTTTACTGTTTTACTCCCACCATGTGCAGAGTATAAGTACATAGAAGGTACTCCAAAAATATTTCTTTAGTGGATGGATTTATTGGATTTTTCTCAAAACTAGTGAGCAAAGTGTACAATTTAATTCTTTGTCAACTGAATAATACCAAATGCCTCATATGATGGTCTAGGCAGTTGAGTTAAATATGAAGATGAGGCGCTTCCTTGTTACTTAGCAAGGAATTTAAGACATTCTCATATGACATTAAATCATAAAATGCCATAGAAAGCATTCACATGTTTAAATGCCCAGAGAATTAAACAGGCAGCAAAATCCACAGGAGATGAGAAAAGGAAAATATAAAGGTCGGTTTGGAATAACTCAGAAGACTTGTGGAAGAAGCTGCCACCTGAGGCAGGCTTGAAAGGGGGCAGACAAGCAAAGTCCCGGAAGATGGATGAGTCTGGCAGGTTTTCAGATGTTTCTGATGAAAGCAGAGAAGTGAGAAATTACTAGAAGTCACTGAAAAAGTGAACTCGAACCAACTGTGGCAAATAGCAAGTTCTGGAGTTAGAATTATAAGCAGTATGTCTTTTGCAAAGAGGAGCCATTAAGAAGTTTTAAGCGAAGGAGTGGTGTGGCACTGGGAATATTTTCTGAAGGTAAATTTGGCAGTGTCACGGGAACTGACTAAATAGGGAGAATCTGGAGCCAGAAAGACGAGTTAGAAGACTGACACAATCTTGAGCCGGAAAGAGATGGTGGAGATAGAAATTAGAGAGAAAGGGAACATGTAACATTTAGAAGGAAGAATCAATATAACATAACACAGAATTAATCTAGGGAAAAGTTAGTGAAGAGAATTTAACCTGCAGCAATTCACCGAAGGTTCAGAGGATGGAGAGAGATGAAAGATCATTGAGTTTCATCCAAAGAACATGATTAACAATGATATCCGTAAATTAAAAGTCCCAGTGAATATCCTCTGATAACTAAACCCAGTATTTTCCCAAAAGTTATCATGAATCTGGAAGAATATATATGTCTTCATCTTGAGGGTCTTCAGAAGTACTGGGTTTCTGGAAGTTATAATATTGAGGTGACATCTCATTTCCATAGATATGCTCCTCAAAGTTGGTCTGCCAAGTGTTCTCATACAGTTCTTTATCAGTTACCTCTTTATGTTTGGGATCACCACTTTCCACATTTTCATAGCTGCTATGCGTGTTAGTCCCTCTTCCAGAAGATCTGCAGTGCTGGTTCTGAACTGAGATTTTATGCCTTGAGCTGATAGTGAGGAGACTTGAGAGTGTTTTAGTATTGTCTTTTCTCCTGCTGCTTCTCCTTTGCAAGACCCTTGGTAAGGGAAAATGCACTGGGTTACCATGTTTCCAGCACCAAACACAACCAATTCCACAGATTAACAAGAGGAAAAGAAGGGAAATTCCTATAGAAGTGGCCACTGGTGTATTTCCACAGCTTTTTAACATTTCTGCACAAGCACTGTTGTTTCGTGGTATGGGGGAGCCCTTAATGAATTCACAGGTGCAGACAAATGTAATTCCTCTTAGGGTGGAATTTAAAAATAATCCTGGAAGCTCTTTTTGACATTTCTTTTTCAGATGTGGAAGAACATCATTTGGCAAAGTCCTGATACAATCAGAGGAGAGATTGAATAAACGTAGCCTTGGACGATCCTTCTCGTTGTATGTGATGCTTTTTGCACTACAGTCCCCAATGTATAATTGCACTGTGTCGGGGGGGATTTTAATTGACTTCACTTCACTTTCTATCAATGAATCACAAGACAAAGCAAAAATGAGTGGAAGATAATGGCAGAGCAGACAACTCAAGAAAGAGAAGGTTGGACGATCTGCCATCCATACACCTCCTATAAATTAAAACACAAATTAATTGCATATTTATTACATAGCATAATAAAAAAATCTGTCAATATCTGCCAGTATATTAAGCACTGTCATTTAGTGAGTTCCTGACTCAAAAGAGAATATAGTACTAGCTGTGGTGAGAAGAGAAAAAGAACTTCTACCTGCTCAAGCCTGAGTAGTTTTATTAGATTTCAACATGGATTTTGACAATAATGTTAATAATTTTCAAGTGAAAGACAATGATTTGAATGCAATAAGAGAAAGGGAGAGGATTATACCTGCGCAATAATTTCCATTATTTATCACCTTCTCTGTGAGGCCTTTTCCTTAATCACTCCTTCCTCTGTATTCCCCTATAAATGAGGCCATTCTCTATTATAGCATGACAGCTTAAGTTACAGCAAATTGTGTGCCTTCCCACCTGGTTAAATGGTGGGCAGGGATCAGGTCTTTTCACTGTATATTCCTAGAGAATAGCACAGTACCTAGTGCAGGAAAGAAATTCAGTTGACATTTTATTAAATAAGGGAGTCAAGAAACAAATGACTCCAAATCTCAGCATCTAATTGCTTAAGTCATTTAAAACTTAAGATACGTCTTCTAAAGGGTATAGGTGTTTTGTTCGGTTTTAAGATTTTATTTATTTGAGAGAGAGATAGATAGTGAGAGAGACAACAAGTGGGGGTGAGGGGAAGAGGGAGAAGCAGACTCCCCACTGAGCAGGGAGCCTGATGCAAAGCTCATTCCTAGGACCCTGGGGTCATGACCTGAGCTAAAGGCAGACGCTTAAGCAACTGAGCCACCCATGCACCCCTAAAGGATATAGTTCATACTTAAAAGAAGAAAAGAGCTCTTTGACCTACCACAAAATATCTAAAACAAAATTTGAAAGGCTTTCTATAACTAGTGTTCTCACAACTTGCAGGAAACAACTTTTCAATTAAGATATTTTCATAACGTTTTCTGCCAAGGCTTTAAAATGGCAAAGAGATAAGAAATGAAAAGTGTTCAACCAGACTGAGTGTTGTATTATGATTTTATCAACAAAACATTATTACTATATGTTTTCAGCCTAGACACAGAAACAGTTACATCTAATACCATTTTCACTATTGTTGCTGTTTCTAGTTTTATTGAGATATATAATTGATACATAATATTGTATCAGTTCAAGGTATATAGCATAATTTGACATATGAATACATATGTGAAATACAACATGATACATATTGTGAAATGATGGCCATACTAAATTTAGCTAATGACCATCACCTCACATAGTATAACTTTTTTCTTCTCATAATACTTTTTAAGATCTACTCTCTTAGCATCCTTCAAATACACAATACGGTGTTGTTAACTATAGTCATCCAATATTGTTAACAGTGCTTGTGGGATGATTATCATCATCTATTGAATGTCACCATTGATAATATTTAGTTAAGAGCTTATTTTGGATCACCTTCTAAAAACTTTTACATGGATTATCTCATTTATCCTACAGATGCCATATGAATTAGATACTACTGTAATGCCTATTTTAGAGAAGAGTAAGGAGAGGATTAAAGAATTTAACTTCTTGAATAACTAAGAAGCGACTGAATCCAAGAGTCAAGTAAAATTTGCCCCAAAATACTATTCTTAACCAAAGTTCTATAAATGGCTATAAAGAACATCTATTGCTAAACTTTTATAGCTTGATTTGCTCTGAGCTTCTAGAGGGATGGAGCTCTTACTTATTTTTATATTACCAAAACCAGTACAAGACAAAGAAGAGCTACTTTCTTAAATATTTGTTAGTAAATGGAGCAAACAGCATTAGGATAACAGTGGCAACAATAAACAGGGAAAAAGTAACCCTACAAAGCTGAGTCCTGATTTTAGTGAGTGTTCACACCTGAAAGTAAACTTTCCTAAATTTGTTCAAGGTTGGACTACATCAACGTGAAAATTTTCAGTTTGGCATTTCACACAAAACACCGAATTACATATGAAATGCAGTTAACTTCTATAAAATTGATTTGATAAAACTGTATGGACAGACATCCTAGATCTAGACATCTTTGGAACTTTTCTAGGTTCCCTCCTTTATAAAGACCAGATACAATTCTATGTCCAAAGGCAAATATTTGGCAAATGACTTTAACCTTTAGGATCTCATTTCCTTTCTAAAACAGATAAGAACTGATTGTAGGAAGATAATTTATGGTATAAGTGATTACTCATTTAAGTAAAAATTTGGTAGCATATTTGAACTGAATTTCAAATATAGATTAAAATTAATCACCTTTTTAAAATTCTAAGCTTGCAACAAAATGGGGAATGCTGACTATTGCTGAACATTGGGTAATAAATTGCCCTCACCATTTCTGAGATGATAATTTATTTTTACCATCTATGTTGTGCTATGTAGACAATCCAGAATATTCCAAATAGGAAAACTGTCAAAGAAGTGTTTACTGAGATAAATACAAGAAGACTTCTTAAAAGAGAATACATCCTTTTTATGCTCTAAAACAACTTAATAGGAAAACATCTGAGAGGCAAAATGGAAAGACCTACTAGAATGGAAACCATATGTTAAACAAGAGCCTCTCAAAGCTGGCTTAACACCCCAATTAGTCTCATTTTGCCCAATATGCAAGAAGGCTGTTCCTGTTTTGGAAAACAGTTCCAACACGCTACCTAACAATTATTCTTATTTGTCTTAAAATCACAAATGATTGATAGACTTCTGGAATCTTCAAAGGCAGAATACTGCCCATTTGGAAACAAGACAATAGCAAAGCCTAATTTTAATGGTAAGCATATACACTGGTAGAGACAGATTAACATCACCCTCAGTTTGTAAATTCATTATTGTCACCGAAGGCCACCTAAAAACTATGGTAACATAAAGTCATTATTTAAAATGAATTTGTTCCTTATAGTTTTTCATCAGCCACATGCCTTAAATCAGGTTCTCACTTACCTTGAGACTGCTGAGCCAAACTACTCTTTTGGTTAAATCTGCTTTAGTGTTCCTCTTTTTAGTGTTCTTCTTCTTTACCCCCTCCTTCAGATTATTTCATACTTGCAAAGTTTCCTGATTGCAGAGGAAGTTCTTATCAGATGTACCAGAATTAAGATAAATGGCATGAGTTTTTGAAAAAGGAAGTCCAGCCCTTTATCCTTGTCAATAATTCTTCAGCTACATCAGAGAATGATACCTGGAGCCCAGATGCTTCTTTATTTGCATAATATTTGCAGTCCTCACTTCAGAATCAATAAAAGTCATTTCATTTGCACTTAAAATTTTTTAAGAAGAAAGATTTTGAAATGTAATTACATGGAGGTCTTGTTTATTTGTTTGCTTATAGGATTGTTTAAAATAGTCTTCATTTAAAATACTGTGTCTCAGTGCCACAGGTTATGTTTCCACTTGACAAGCTAGTGTCCAAATTTTGGTTCAGAAAGTGTTAATATTCCTTTACACTGGTAAAACAGCAATCTCCCAAAGTAGATTCAACTTGACGTGTGACGTTTCTGTGATCTTCTAGTAGGTAGAAAGGAAAATGGTTTCACTTTGTTTAATAACAGAGGCCAGCATATTGTGGGCATTCGCTAGGTCTTCTAAACACTTTGTGTACTACTTGGTAAATCCTGACAACAACCAGTGGGAGAGGGCTGCGATTCATCTGATTTTATAGGGGAGTAAATGGAAGCAGAAGGGTAACATAATCCCTGCCCAGTGCGGTCTGGCAGTGTGCCCCCAGCACCTGTGTGCTAAACCACTTCACTTGGTTGTCTCACTTGGGTGATTGAGAGGTTTCCAGCATAAAACCCTTATTTAACAGCCTTGCTCAGAGACCAACTCCACAGAGTTAAAAAAAGAACAGAAAAGGCTGAATTTAAAAAGATGAGATCAGGGTCGCCTGGGTGGCTCAGTGGGTTAAGCCGTTGCCTTCGGCTCGGGTCATGATCTCGGGGTCCTGGGATTGAGCCCCGCATCGGGCTCTCTGCTCAGCAGGGAGCCTGCTTCCTCCTCTCTCTCTTCCTGCCTCTCCGCTTGCTTGTGATCTCTGTCTGTCAAATAAATAAATAAAATCTTAAAAAAAAAAAAGATGAGCTCATAAAGCAATGGAAAGTTTGCCTTTTAAACTGTATTGGAACTTTTCAACCCCAGGGGATTTTCTTTAAGTCAATGAATGAAAAGACAATATTTCATTACTGAAACACCAACCAGACATCAGAAGAACAAGACTGTCAGTAGGGTTGGGCATGGATATTCTGCCAGGCATTGTGCTGAGTAATGGGGATGCAATAACGAACAAACTCCCTTGCCGCACCTCAAGCCTACTGGAAGGCTGCTGTACACACAGATCGTTTCAGATCAAGGAGGGAAGGGCTAAGAAAGACAAGAGTTATACACAGAGGACAGTCGGAATAAGGAAAAGAGGCATCCAGTTGAGAATGGTCAGGGAACACAAGACCTGGGCTAATAATAAGCCTCATGGAATAAAAAGGAGTTAATCAACGCAGAATAGAAGGGTTCCAGGCAAAACCCCAGAACGAAGGAGGTTATGAAGTGCTGCGAGGAATGAACCATAAAAGATAGTACCCTACTGCTATTCCATTCTAAGCTGCAAAATCTACCCCCTTGGAAAACGTGTCATGCCTACAGAGAAGAGCACTGTTTACGGTTCACTGGGCAACTTCGAAATGTTAGACTATGGTCCAGGGCTTAAAAACAAACAAACAAACAAACAAAAAACAAAACAAAAAAAAATGATAATGAAAGAAAAACAAAAAGGCTCAAGAGTTTCACT